TTTTTTATTAAGCATATAGGAAATATTGCATATTAATAGTTTGCACCCTCTTTTTCAGCCAGCACCCTCAAACATTGCATAGCAAGGGAGAACAAAGTTAAGATTTTTCAATCCAGGAGTTTTCAGAAAAGAGCAGCTAAACAAATGTTAACTTCTCTTAAAGTTATGTTATGTCAATGGGAATACATTGCATCACTGACTTGATACGTGGAATCTGATTTGTGTAACATACAAGTAGAGCACTGGTCAATTGAGTGGGTACTGATAAGACCATACAAAAAAATAAATAAATGCAGCCACATCTATGGACTGGTAAGCTGCAATGTATTACATCGAGTTTAGATACACTTTGAAATGCAATTTTTCAAGTATAAAGCCTTATCTTGAAAAGAAAATATTTTAGCTGCTAAAATGTGTCACTCCTGTGAGGACCCCAAATTGGGGGAGAGCAGTTTTTGTATCGGGTAGAAAAACTGGACAACTAGAATGCAGATAAAACACTGCTCCCATGTCTATTTAGACACTGCATTTTTCATTTGCTATATTGTATTTTTGAATGTATTTTATATGCTGTGCCATTCATACTTATGGAATACGGATTTCCATCCGAAATAACAGGATTTTCTAAAAATATACGAGTGCCTAAAGCCCTTCACAAGCACACAGAAAAGTAATCTTCCTCAACACCACTTCCCCTTCCGCCCCCAGTGTGCAGCTAGTAAACAGGGAGGTAGGAAACATCAGGTGTTTCACTGGCTCAGTCTTTCCCATTCATTTTTTAGTTTTTTTTAATTTACGACACACCTAACATGTCTATCCCCCAGGAAAAAAACAAAAAACACTTACCATAAAATAACTGTATAAATGTTTGTACTGTTCCTTTAAATGTTACCCAAAACCTGTACTTGTAGCTCTTGCTTTAGAACTGCTGACCATTACCCTACTAGGAAGATTCGTGCCAACCCATGCAGTGTACTCAGGTGTAATTTAATCAGTCTTCAGGACTGCCAAGTGTTGCAGCAAGGATTGAAGACCCTGTGCTGGAAACACATAGGAAAGATGGACCACTGCTTTCACACACAGTACAGCAGCCCATTTGTCCAACATGTCCTCCTAAACAAGGAGAGACCATGCTGTTGGTTAGAGCAGTATTCAGGAGCCATGTCAGACCACGTGAGAGCTGGGCCACTGTTGCTGTGTTAAAGCAGCAGTCCAAGTCTGGTAGCCTATACTAGCCAGATAGAGAAGCAAGTTCCCAGTAACCGCTTGTTATAGACAGGAATTTGGATTCATTGTGTACACAGTACATGAGCTGGTAATATCAGTTCCATTGTGCAGTTTGACATGTGTGGAGAAGTGGAGCAGCTCAGTCTAATTTTCCTTTCAGTAGTTGTCCAGGTATAGCTTTTCATTGTAGATTAACTGGGGTCAGAATCCCTTGGGTCATATGCTGTTCACTCTTTTAGAGAAGAGGTTTTTTTAGTATCAGAGACTTGGAAGATGGAGGTGTCTATAGTCACAATGCAGTGGTACAGAATGAAGTGGATTGGATAAATCCTCATTAACTGTCTTGACATAAATGATGACAATGCCATAGGGATCCAAGGTAATCTGTGTAATTCTCATGAACAGAGACACATTTTTTAGAGCGATTTCTTAGTATTGAGAATCAAGTTAATGTCACCCTGACTTGTGCCAGCATGTTTTGACTGTTAACTACAAACAATAGAAGAAACCAGCATTCACCAATATTCTTCAGAAATAAAAGTCACTTCACTAGAGTTTTAATTTTATTGAATTAATGCTACAAAAAAGGATTCTCCCATGCCCCTTTTATTTTTAAGTGATATTTTCATATGGCGAAGCTTGCTATGGCTTGTTCAGAAGGACTACTCTTGCAAAAAGGCAATACACTAAAAGGCAATAGAGGGCTACCCTATTACTGGAATTGTCTTTGTAGAACTCCTTGTTTATGAGCATGATTAACTTGTTGTCTTTAATAGAAGGAGCTCTTTAGTAGAGGTGTGAAATCCCTTCACCAAGCTTCTGCCATACCCATTTCTAGTACAGATGTAATTTTGCTTCTCATAGTGTACCTCCATGTTCACATTAGGGCACTCCTTCGCATAATGGTGTCAAGGACATTGCCTGAAGTAAGGAGTATGCCCTTTTAACACACTGGTCTTACAAAAATCTTGCATCTAGTTCCTGAGCACAATTAGCATGGCTGGGACCACTGCAATCAAAGGGCTCCAGATGAGGCTAGTCATATCCATCTTCAGCCGTGGATATCCTTTGTTATTTAGTAGATTGCTGCATTCAGATGAAAACCTACAACTCCTTGTATGGATTGCACCAAATAATTAGGCCCTATTCAAGAAGCATCTCTCACATTCAAAAAATCCCAAAGAACTATAGGCTTGTTAGCGAGTGATTGTTCTAAAAATCTAGAATAGATTGTGATGGCACTCAGAACACTTGACAGCAACCTTGCAATCTCTGGTAGCGTGCTCTGAAGATGCACATCTGTAGCAGATGGGATTCTTGGTTTCCTTGCATTCTTCAAAGTGTTGTTTCTTAAACACACTTTTTTGGGACTATGTGACTTCTCATTGAGAAGACTGTAGTAGTTCTTGCTCATTTCTCCTTAATATGTTAAGGCAATTTTGCTACTACTAGGTTTACACCATGGGCAGAATACAAGTTGTTAAAGGCTTTTAGATGTGGGCATTCCTTCAGAAGTTGAAATGGACTTCAAAAGCTCTGGTAAATCTCATCTGGATTTACATGGTAAGGTGAAGTTTCAACTTTGGTGTTGACCTCCCAGCCCTGTAGTTCTCTGGGGGGGGGGGTTGGGGATCATCGAACCCTGTGAGACCTTTGTTAATATGCTCTCTGTGGATCATGTACCTTCCAAGTACTGACATTTGTTCTTTTAGGCTTTGGTTTACCACCATAGGTGCTCTTTCAGCATTACTGTTGATGGTTGTATCTGTACCTGATGCTTAGGTTTCTTAGTAGAAAACAGATTACCAGATGGGTTCACTACAGGTGAAAGTTTAGCATCTGGACATCTTATGATGTGAATCTTAGGAAGGGCAAAAACTGGACCAAAATTTTTTGGTAGGGTTAGGTTGATCTGTGTTCAGAAGGGTCTGGATGGTGCATAATGCACTGGAGATTTAAGAAGCAGGGAAGTGCTCAATGCATCCACATGATCCACCATGCTGCCTTCTGCTAGCAGATGTGGTCTTGTTCAGTATTTGTAACATTCAGAATTGTGTGGGACGATGCAATCTTTCCTATGTGGCTTGTAACAAGAAACTAAACCTAGCTATAACCACTACTTCCTCTCTTCTTCTTTAAAAGTTCTAAAGAACTTTTAACTGGGGGTTTGCCTTAAATCTGCATAGTCTATGCTTCTGCCTGGGCTTGAGTATCAAAGCTTTACAAAAACACACCAATTAATGCAGTTATTTATTGAAACAAGAACATGCTTTTTAAAAGGAAAATGTATAAAGTACCTGAATTTGCTTTGGTATCAACGCTCTGCAATTTCATCTACAGCAGCTCTCAGGGAGTGAGGGGCAGCAATAGGAATCAAACAAGTACACTGCATGCACATATGCTGTCAAGGAACAGGAGAGAGTACTGTGCGTAGGGGTCTTAGCTGCTGCTTCACTGTCCAATCACAGGTTGGAAGCAAGTAGGAAACATAGCCTTATACCTTCAACTGCAGCAGAAAAACATTAGGCCAACAGGCTAAATGAACAGTATGGCAGGGCTATGTAAATATCAGGACTGCATGGGCAAATACAAAATCATTTGGCAGATAAAACAGCTCATATACAAATACTTTAAGATCTAGGTGTCTGGAGTTTAGCTTTAAAAAAAACTAGTGGAGGTGGTAAACTAGTTCAAAGCTCTGCCAGGGGCATGACTGATACACAGAGAACAGCCTCCAATCCTAGAAGTGCAATATGACACCAGCACACCAAGGATCTGCGTCTAAAACACCTTTGACGTTTGAGCCTCCAATGCTTGCACACAATTTATGTAAGCACTGCACTTATTAGCCTTTATTTCGCAACTTTATTTAAAAAAAAAGCCTCTCCTGACTTTCAAAGAGCAAGGATACTTTAAGTTCGTATTTAGAGCGTAGAGATAAGCTTAACGATTTTTAATATCGTCCTTTGATAAAAGAAACGGTGCAGAAAATATACAGAAAAAGATTTAATAAAAAGAGACACAATATATATACAACAGCAAAATAAAAGGGAATAAAAGAAGAATACTCAACAGTCCTGGAAT